AAGAACCAGACAAACGACCGATCCCAGAGCCTTCTCTTTCCAGGCTGAACAACCCCAACTCTCTCAGCCTGTCCTCACAGCAGAGCTGTTCCATCCCTACGATCATCTTTGTGGCCTTCTCTGGACGCATTCCAACAGGTCTGTGTCTCTTCTGTGCTGAGGGCTCCAGAGCTGGACGCAGCACTGCAGGGCAGATCTCAGAGTGGAGTAGAGGGGCAGAATCACCTCCCTTGGCCTGCTGTCCCTGCTGCTTGGGTGCAGCCCAGGATACGGTTGGCCACCTGGGCTGCAAGTGCACATTGCCAGCTCATGTTGAGCTTCTCATCAACTGACACCCTCAAGTCCTCCTCAGGGCTCCTCAATCGTTTCTCCACCCAGCTTGTATTTGTGCTTGGGATTGCCCCGGCTCAGGTGCCAGACCCTGCCCTTGGCCTTGCTGAACATCATGAGGTTTGCACAGGCCCGCTTCTCAAGCCTGTCAAGACCCCTCTGGATGGCATCCCTTCCCTCCAGTGTGTTGACCACACCACACAGCTTGGTGCTGTTGGCAAACTTGCTGAGGGTGCACTCAATCTCACTGTCTATGCCACCGACAAACATGTTAAACAGCATTGGTCCCAATACCAACCCCTGAGGAAAGCCACTTGTCACTGATCTCCACTTGGACATCGAGCCGTTGACCCCAACTCTGAGTGCAACGATCCAGCCAATTCCTTATCCAGCAAGTGGTCCATCCACCAAATCCATGTCTTTCCAATTTAGAGATGAAGATCTTTTGCAGGACAGTGTCAAATGCTTTGCACAAGTTCAGGTAGATGACGTCAGTTGCTCTTCCCTTATCCACCAATGCTGTATACCCGTCACAGAAGGTCACGAAATTTGTCAGGCATGATTTGCCCTTAGTGAAGCCATGTGGGCTGTCAATCACCTCCTTATCTTCCATGTGCCTCAGCATAGTTTCCAGTTAGTTCCTTAGTTTAACTTAAGGGCAATGTCTGCTGAAGACCTGGTGGGCATTACCCACCTATTGACACATCCAGCCTTGAAATAAGAAAACTCCTGATCAGAGTAGCAATGCTCTAAGCAGCCCTCCAGCTCAGCAGCAGTTACAAGAAGCCTAACTTTTGTAAACTACAGCTTCTTCATTTGTGAAATAGGCATTATGATTACAGGCCTGACTGACCTTCATTACCTGAAATACTCAGTTCAACTTTTCAGCACCTTACTTTGGCAAAGGTTAGATTCCCAGAAAAGCTGCTGTTACATCCACTATACAACCAATGGTCAGACTTAAAGATGTTAAGAAAAAGAATTATCCTGGATTGTTTAATGTAACACATAAAGGGTTTAGAAGTTTTCCATTACTAGGAAAACAAATTTCGAGAGACATTCAAGTAAAGAATTTGGAAGAGACAGGAAAAGTTAAGAGCGTTGTGCACCAAACAGGCCACCTAGAATAGGCTAACACAGCCAACAAGTCCCTGAAAAACATGGAAGTTCAGATACACAGAAGAGCTATGGAAAATGGCAAAAGCCTGAAAGCAAAGAGACATGGAACGTATTCCACTACATCATCTGATGCAAGTATTTAGAGGTGATTTAACTAAAACTTCTTCTATAAAATTCTGCTCAGTTTTAATTTTATCTTTGTTTTAAAGTCCAGCCCCCCCCATCAGCAGTATGGCTAATTTCTATTAGTATATGCAGTAAATCTGACAAAGCAATGCTCATGACCTTTGTAGGTCTGCAGAAGTAAAATTCAAGTTAACATGTTTTGAACAGCTAGTTCAGTTTAATACAGTTAATTTTTGAAATAGAAAAATGTTACCTACCATCTAGCTCCTTCTCAATGAAATCCATTCTGTGTATGACTTCATCTTGCAGAGATTCCACATGAGCTAAAAGATTAAGCTGCCACTGCAGCTGCGAGTTCACAACTCCTTCGTCTTTTTCCAGCAACTTCATTTCAATAGCTTCCTCTGGAGAGACTTTCTTAGAGACAGACTCTCTTACCTAGCAGAAATATACATATTAATATTTGTTATAGTGAAACAGAATTGGTGAGCCAGACTGAGTCCTTCCAGTTACCCAAGCTAATCGCTCAACTACCCTTAGGCTCGTGGAGAATAGAGACACACAGAAAAGAGATCATACACAAATATTTAGGCAGTCTGGGCAAGAGGATCTAAATACAGACATGCTTTTTTTCTTAGCTATTTTGCTAAGACCTACTCTTTGCAATTCACAAGCATCTGATTTTCAAAACGTAACGTATATACACATAGCTAGCTCCCTGCCAAGGGATTTTTCCAGAAGGAATCTAGTATTGATTCTGCTAAAACTTTAATCGAAGCATCTAGAAGAAAACATTACCACCACTTGTAACACTTGACTACACTGTCATCAGCGTTGATTCTACTCCCTTTTTTTCATCATTCTGCTGAAATACGACAGAGTTTAGAAAAAGATTGAAGAATTGAAATATATGCTGTTCTGGGAAACGTAAAGCAATCTCAACTGATTTGACAGAGAAGTTAAAAAGAACATAAATTACAGTTTACATATGCAGGAAATAAAAACTAAACAAACTTTTAATCTAAAAGAGGGAGGCCAGTTTCCCAGAGGCTTTCTAATATTTGTCAGACCATATTTCATATGACTTGGCACTAACTAATCAAAGCAATATTTTTGCATTGGGGTGTGAAAGGCAGGCCTCTGACAGACCTGAAAATGAGAACTAAGAGTTGAAAAGATAAACCTAGAGTGCTTCAGTAAGATGATCATCCAGGACTATTCAATGGTGATAATTCTCAAGAAAAATCAGTTCAGGCTACTTGGTTTTTTTTCGCACCATGAAATGCTGCCTGAAGAACCTGGAATCAATTTAGTTAATGTAACTATTAAAAGAAACATGGGAACAAGATGGAAATAACTAAAAGCTGGAATACCAGTGTTTTGGTAGTATCATACATTCTTGCCCTGTTCTCTCTCACTATCCCGTTGCTAGTGTTTATTTTTACATTTAACACACATAAGTAAGAAGCAATGAACTGACAGTGAATCATTATGCATGTTCCACAGACTGTGCAGACGATTTAAGGTCCAGAAGCCCTCTTCAACCTAGATTATTTTTTTTAATTATTATTTGAAATGGAGCAGTTGATCATGTCTATAATTTTAATTAATAACTTATATTTAACAATATAGGAAAAAAGTAAAACACAAATAAACACACTAAATACTATTGAAAAGGGTTGAGTTTTGCACTTTGCCAGGCAAACACATCCTCTGTGCAGAAAGGGTTATTTTAATACAAATACCTTAGAATTGTGTTTGGATTCATTTTCCATCTTGCATACTTCTCGGTCCAGATTCCAGCCAAATCTCTCTGACAGGGCATCATCCCCATTTTCCCTTATTCTATTTACTCCATCATCCAAAGCTGAACCTCTTGTTTCCACAACCAATCTCTGCTCTATCGCAGGGTAGTAGGCCCGAGGTTTCTGGTAACAGTGTTCACTTGTAATGTAAGATTCCTCTGCAGAAGGAATGGTTGAAGGTTTCTCAACTGTCCCATTCCAAGTTCTATAACTGGCCGTCTCCTCTTTGCAACAGTTTTCCTCAATGTGAATGATGTGTTTTGTATGAATTTTTTCATCCATCGTAATGTGCTTCCATGGATGGCACCACAGCTTTAGGTCAGGATGTTCTTTATTTCTGTTCAAACATAAAAAAAGTAAAACACCCACCAAATTTAAACTTCAGAGTGACTGAGCAAACTATTCTATTATGTAAAGAAATTAAGTAAGAATATTTGAACTAGTGCATGCTTTAGTCATCGTAATCAGTAAAAAAATACCTAAATACTCTGAAATAATATAACTTCACTGACCACAATTGTGTATCTTCCTACACAAGGAAGATACTGTTCTGTTAGGTTCACTGTTTTAATTTCTATAACACAGATATAAGTCAAGCACTGACATTAAGAAAAAAATTGAAGAGTAAGTTTCAAATAGGTGCATAAAACTTTTTACCAGTGTTGCCCTTAAAGAAGCATTTTGCTTCAATATTTGCGATTTATTAACAGCATAAACTTATTTTCACTGGGATATTTTTAGTAGTATTTTAAACAGGTAAGTCAAGTACACAGAAGCTAAACTAAGATTTTAACAATTTTGAAGACCAGTAAAACAAGAAGATCCCCTCAAACCACTCAGTATCAAACTTTATCCTGTGGCTCCCCGCAATAAACTTCAACCCGCTGATCTTTTGTAACCCTCTAATAACAACAGCAATTGGAGACTTGAGGTGGTGGTATTTCCTTTAAAAAAGTTTTAACTTTCTTTTAAACCCCAAGATACTGAGCAAACTCTATTGCCTCGTACACCAACATGCCATAGTCCCTCCACCTGCTTCTTATAAAAATTCTTATTTTAATTGTTTTCAAATTAACTAATACATTTATTATGTATTAGTTAATTATATGACCAGCAGCAGGAACAAATACAGATTCTTACACAGATGTAACAAACAAACAAATTTAGAATGACCATTACAACTGATACTGTTCTTCCACATGTCTGTCAGGCATTAAAACAGCAGTAAAAAGGAGAGCAAAGCAGAATCACTCTGCTTACCTTCAAAGGGTAGGCAGCTTATACAGGCCTTATTCAGGCTGCAAGAACACAGCAGAAGCAAATTCTGACCCTAAAACACCTGCATTCAGCTGCACAGAAAGGAGGGGGTCTGCCGCAAAACCCCACTCTGTGCTTCCTTGCAAACAAAGGCAGATGGAATTACTCCATTAAGCTGATCCAGCTTTTCAAGCTGTTATCCAAACCGCTCAACAAAATGTGACCATTTTCCTTCCAAAGTAACTGCTTTCTAATCTGTTCTACAGCAGCTAAGGTTTCTTCAGCGTCTACCACAGCAAACTACAGTTAGTACAACTGCCAAGGACTTGCTCAGATCACTTCATACAAGTGCTTCCATCTCCAGGGACTGCATGTCTATGACATCCTTGGTGAGCAATCCTGAAGGCACGCCCAGAAAAGTGGTAAATGAACACTCGGCTTTCAAAGCTTTCTTCTCCAGCTCTACTGATAGTCTACACCTAAAGGCACTATTTTGCTCACCAAAGAGCAAGGGAAAACTTTACAGAACACAGAAAATTGAAAGATGATGCACCAGCTACTTCAGGATGAAAATTCAAATGCTTAATACTTGAGCAACCTTTTAACTATTGCCTTCTGAAGGCTGTCTCTCCCTCTTGTTGCACCGAAGCTGTGAATGTCACCTCTGATCCTTTGCCGCCTCCTTGAAATACTGGGCAGCACACTCCTAACGATTTCCAGGCAGCTGTGAAATCATCTCCTCTCACCTAGATGGTAGGTCTGCATCAACAATATAATAATTCTTCTAATTCAGCGATTTTAAAAATCCTTTCATATTTATGTAACAATAAAGAAAACAGGGGCTATAGCTTTTAACAAGACTGTCCTAACAGGACCACACCTCATCTTTAATTAAACCCAGTCATCATACCAACTTCAGGATGGGAGAGAAAAGGAACAAAGTCTGTAACAAGTATCACGTACTTGCCCAGTGCTCAATACCTTAGTGCTACGCAAATCTCAACGTACTCTACAACTGGAAAGTCACAATCTAAAGTTTTGCTATTTAAGAAAAGGCAAGTGGAAGAGGACCACTGTAAGGAGGTCCTCCTTATGTTCTACCCTCTCCAAAGAGGGGAGAGATTACTTACAGATCTGACTAAAGGATACTATAAAGGAAAAGCAAAACCTAGTGTTAAAATTGCTGCTCTCTGCTTTAAGCATTATTCCACTGTTTAAGCATTTCAAGTACTGTCAGTGGCCCTACCACATCACCACTGGTTAAATTTAAGGGAAAAGGTTCTAAAGAATGCTGGAAACACTAAAAGCTTTGCTTTCCAAATAGCTGCTGCTGTACAATTTATCAACTAATAAATTATAAATATGGAATTCAATCAATTTAGAACTGCTGGATTTGAGTTATTAAAAAGATTTCTTCCGTCATCAGAACCCAAGGATGACTTTAAAAAGGAAAAGATCCAGAAAACTTGATTTCTACAGTGATTACAGAACGTTATTTTTTCATATTTATCTAGTAATCTTTGCAAAGAAACGAATAGCTACAGGTTGCTGAAGGTGCACCTGCTCTCCCACTACAACAGAGCAACACATTATGCTGAACAAAAAGATTTGATTTCTGCTGGAAAAGCTTTGATTTAGAATTACTGGAATACAGAGGGCATGTGTTATAAGAATGCTGCCACAGGTTATATGCCTATCGTCTTCTTGATACTTAAATCTATTTAGTTGTTTTATGAGAAGCTGTTGTTATTAGTTTTCTTCCTCTTTCCTTCGTACTTTCCCCAACCCTTCTATACACAGTCAATTTACTTCTCAACACACTTAAATAGTTTTTAGGCAGCCAAGTCCTTTTCCAAGATCACATTAGCAATTCAAACTATTTTGTTATATATCCACAAAGAAGCACAAAAATAAGTCTGAATTTCTGGTTATTTTGCTACTACTCGAAATCTAATTCACATTGAGAACATGCCAACTGATACTTAAATACTGCTTACTGTAATATGCTCATCTTCAGCTGCAGTCCATGCAGTACTTCTATCACTCTCTGTACATCGCCAAGAAGTTGGTGAGTGGCTACTATCTTCTTGGCATTCTGGTGGGAATAATTTTCTTCCAAAAATGCTAAGCCATGCATGTGACCATTACTTAACCACTCCTTCTCATACCAGTACTTTAAGCTGGACCTCTGACCTAAAGCAACAGTAATGAGTGTGTTAAAACGAGGCATTAACTATGGTATGTTAACATTACTGGTAGTAATTCTGATTATCTCAAAGTCTTTCAATAGCTTATTTGTTATTATCAATAGTACCAATAAAGATTTATAATATCAGACAAAACCATGAAGAACTTGTGAAGTGGGAAGTGAGATGATAACCTCAGTCAAAAACTTCTGCCCAACTGTAAAAGCATTCAGACTCCAAATTCCATCAAAGAACATCCACAACAGGTATTTGCAGCTGATGCACAGAGAAAAGTGTATTTTTAGCAAGGTATCACACTATCTAGTAACCATGGTTATAACTAAAGCTACAGTTCGAATATAGCTCTCTGCAGACAGAAAAATGCAGCAAAAGGCAGTGAGCTTCCCTTCTCCAGTGGTCCTCTTTTTAAGCACCATACATGTATTAGTACAGTCATTCAAAAGTAAATTTTAAAGGAATCAATGGTGAGGTTCTGATGGAGAGCTTGCCTAAGCCAAACTATTAATAATGCTAATTCTAGCTTAAGAGGTTGGAGTATCAACAGCTGTAATGCAATTATGTTAAATGTGATGAATGCATCAGTAAAAGTAACTTAAGAAACCAAGCAAAATGGTATTAGCAGGAAAGAGAACAACTTGAGATGTTTGCTAAATTGCAAAAACACAAAGAATTCCAAGCCAAAACAAAAAGCCCACACACACTCTGTAAAATGTATTGTTACAACAGATGTTCTCAGAAGACAGCTCAGCACCCTGAGCACCACTACATCATTCACTGGCCTATATACAGCCCAGTCAGCGAACCCACAAAATCAGAGAGAATACTGGAGCACAGACTCGGAATGATAGCCACAAAAAAGTCTCCAATATAAGCAGGTTAATATTGACTACAAGTTTCAGCAGTTAAGGAAAAGCTAAAAAAAAAAAGTAGACAGTTACTAGGCAGCAGGGTAAGAACAAGGGATTGCACTACATGCGTATTAGGTAGCATCACTACCCATGCTATTAACTTTGGCACAACGAAGCAAAAGAACTCTTTGGAAGCTGTACTGAGAAGTGAGCAGAACATGGTCACAGGTGTTTATATGCTTTTGGATGGTAGTTATAGAGTGGCAGCAAAATGGCTTCTACATCATGCCCTATATGAACATGTGTGGACATAAAGGACACTTTCAAACTTAAATTCAATACTAACACTCTGTCTCAGTAAAGGAGTAAAAGCAAACCAGTGTGCTTACAGGCAAGCACACTCAGCCACGAGGCTGTATAGGACAATACTCAATGTTCTGAGGCAAGATCTCCAAAAAACTCTCAAACAGAAACCAACACAGAGAAGAACGGATTTTCAGGGCTATAACAGCTCAACCTTTCAGGCAGATATGCTGTGTCAAGCAAGAGATCTTCTAGGTATGGCCAGAACCGCTTTGGAGACATTCCTGACATACCTGTATTAACCCTTATGCATTTTTTTGTGTTAGAGAAGCTACCATCTGTGACAGAAAATGAAGTTCAGTCCACAAGAATAAAATTGTGAATTTTAGAACTCCATGGTCACCTGAACAGCACTGAAATTATCCAACTAAAGCCCACCCATGGCATTGTTTATTTAGCAGCATACTCAAGAGACAAAAAGTGCTCTCTTTTTAGCTGTAGCAGCTTAATAGAACACACAAGACTATCCAACAATGTATGCTTTCTATGGATTGAATGAATCTGTCCCATCATAAGCATCTTGATAATGTTTAAGCAAGGGTAACTTAACAACCCTTGTGAAAACCCCACTTAACTCAAAAAAATTGTCTATAGTGACAGTTGGTACAGTTTTTAGTCATAAAATGACACTAAACTTACTTTTACTTCGACTGACATGAACTGTGCTGTTACAAGTCCCTGCACTAAACTGGGGAAAGCTCCTAAACAAGAGCTTGCTGAATGGCTATGCTTGGTTCTAAAAGCAACTTCTTTGCAGATTCATAAAGACTATTTAGCTCATTTCAGGCCAACAACAGATTCACTGAAACTGAGAAGCCACTTCTGCAGTCAAAAAATTAGATGTGTTTTTGAAAACAGAGGTAAAAGTTAAGTCCAAATTAAAAAAAAAAAAAATTCAGGATTTTCAAAGCAATAGTTAATAAAAGTGATTAAAGTACTTAAGCAAATGAATTGTTAGTTATAATCAGTTTTTACTAAAAAGCATTCTGATAAAGTAAATACAAATAGTTCAAGTGTGATGGCACAACTTCAGTTTGCAAGTACACTTCAGTTAAGTTTAAAACCAACTCAAACTGACACAAATCAAAGAAAAATATCTTGAAAATAGAGGGTTAAAATCCTGTATGCAAGATACTGTAAAAACACTTAAATGAGTATTAAAATATTTTATCACTTAGATAACTTAATGTAAGCATAGTGTGTCTTCCTTGCTATGAGTACAAACAACATTAGTATATAAACTACACAAATCAATGAGTTAAGCTACAAAAGAGTTGGTAGTTTTAAACAGCCAAAAAACCCAGAGATCATAATCCAGGTATGTATATAAACCAAAAAAGCCTTGTGATTAGGCAAATGAAGATTCCCATTTTCTCATAATTTATCAACATGGACTCAAGCCTGAACCTCATTCGTTTCCACATTCAGCAAGGCTTTATAATTCATAGAGTAGGAAGTCGGAAAAGATCCATGTAAGTGTAATTTTACTTCCTGCATAAGATGGAGTAAGGCATTTTAAAATACATAGATAGGAGTAGAGAACATACTGCTTAATCAACTCTGACTGTGTGACCCAAGATAATTTCTATGTGTATTTATATACATGGATTGCAAGTACCTTTCCATAACAAGCACTAGCACATCACGGCTGTTGAGAACCAACAAGCCTCTTGCTGACTTATTTTAAAGAACATGTTAAGCCTGGTCTTGTTGGATGAAAGCTGCAGTCACATCCTGTAAGATGTGTCCATGGGGAGTCTTTGCTTAAGTTTCCTGAGTACCTCTAGATTCATTTTCCATAGCCAGACAGTACAATCCTTATTACTGGCAAATATGTGACAGATGGTCATCACAGTTAGAACAATCATTTTCATTCCTGTCCAGCTGTAATACCACAAAACTGACTCATATACATTCACATAAATTAAACTTTCTGTCATTATAGGTAACTGAGTTCAGTTATAATGACAGACACAGCTAGGGGAACAAAAAAACCCATCAAGTTTAATCTTTGCAATATATATATACACACACACTAATAAAATTACTACATATATAGGAAGGCTCTGTAACCTTAAATTTCTGTACCTGGAGGATCTTGGCAAATATAGCAGGTATATTTCTCAGGTACATTATCTTCCAGTAAACCCATACAGACTCCATGCTGCCAGCACAGACACTCTTCACACTGTTTAAAGTCAAGAAGTGCATATCAACAGAAATGAAGCCTACAGGAGCTCAGTAAGATTACCTCAATTAAGAGACACATCATCTACATATTTTAAGACAAAAGGTGTATTAATACCCACCCTCCTCTTCCAGCTACATGCTAATAAATTAAAGAATCAGACTACAACAAAATTTGAACCTTTCTCACACATTTTTGACATGGATTTCTGGAGAATTACAACAATTACAGAGTGGAAGCAGGGATCCTGAAAGGTGCAAAAATGTTCCCTTTGCAGATGAAAAATCTTTCACGAGATGCATGCACACATAATGAGGACAGAAAACAGTACGCAATCAAGCCTTCTTCAGCAAAATATATCAAGTTATCTGAATTAAAAGATTTCCCCCTCAAACAGTAAATCACAATTATAAAATCCAAGTGATATTTATATCACATAGGAGTAGCCAATATTACGCTTTACTGATAGTTGTATCTCTAACATTTTATCTATTTCAAAGGTAGCTCTACTAATACAAAACTAAAGTGCAGATGCAGTTCTACCAGCTTTGAAGACTTCTGACATCCTTCCAAGTGTGAGCAATCATATCGGCAAAGACTGAACATAATCTGGCCCTACTTTTTTATAGCAGTTATGCTATTTAAAATGCAATCACTGAACTTAAAGCCATACCGTTTTAGAGCAGGAAAAACCATATCCACATGTTCTGTTTCAGTCACTCCGCCCCCACCCCCGCCACCCCCCCAAAGCGGGCAAAACTTCAATTGTAGCCTAAAGACCACTGAGACATGGGACAAAATCCCACATAAGAGTATTAAGTCAATTTTGATTTGAAACTGTGGTGTCAGTTCAGAATTACTATTTTCACAAGCAGTGAGACACCAGATTATAACCTTTTTTCCCTCAGAGGACAATCCAAAAGCTTAACGCAGAGATCTTGTCAATATTGGCAAAAGTTTTCAAAATGAGCTAAAACAAACACAAACAGCACCTGCAAGCAATCTTACATGCCGCTCTTCACTGACCTACAAAGATGCCAACTTGATAAACATCTCATCTGTGTTGAACACCACTTATACCACTTTTATTCATGCTCTTATCTGCTGCCTTTCCTCAAAGCTAGGAGAGACAGAAAGGGACCACCAGTTCTTGAATATGCCATTGTATTAAATTAGTGGTCTAGGTGTGGAGGAAACAGAAGCACTGGCAATGGAGAATGTAAAAGGTTAGAGAGAAACAGGTTTCTGAAAGATGGGACTAACAATGTTTTGCTCATGGCAAAACTGTTTACCAATGGGTAAACAGTCCGAAAGCAATAAGGAGATGTTTTCAAAAACGGCTGAGAGACCATCCTCCTTTCACAAATATGATTAGTAGGAGCCAGAAGAACGTGTCCTAAAAGGAAGAAAACAGATTAAGAAGAAGAGACTGCATGCTAAAAACAAGAAGGGAGCTCCTGGACCTAGTTACACTTGCGTTCTATAAATCATGCCATATGGCACAGAGCTACACTCAGTGATTCTCCAGGCAAGTTTGCCCATCACAACTTTATTTTATTCAGCTGATATTTAAATATCCACCCCATCAGGGCATAGGTCCTTCCTTTTACCTGTCTGTATGTTCTACTTCACAGCTTGGCTGGCCAGGCTACAGGCTGTTGCTCTGGACACATGCTACACAGAAGCTACCCCCTGCCCAGGCAGTAGTAGGGAGGTTCAAAGCAAGCCAAATAAGAGACTTTGAAGAGGAAAAACATGCTGAAGTTGTGCAATAATATCTAAATCAAAGTTCAAATGCGAAAGAAATAACCAAACACAATGGACATGTATTTAAAACAGCTTTTAAACTACCAGAACAAAAATATCCCAAATCCATTTACATCCATTACCTCCAAGGCCACCAAATCCAAATCAGAATTCTCTGCATCACACACAAATACACAATGTTTAGGTATAAAAAACAAATGGAAGGGAATAACAATGACATTTTGTCTGGGCTTTTTTGGGCCCAAGCCTTACCCTAAAAAGCGAATGCTGTGCCTTCAGAAGTAACACATGGCAATGCTAAGCTACTACTTCACACAGGCTCTGTAAACGAAATCCAGTAACCTCTTTGGCAAAGTTAGAGACTGGAATGAAACAGCATTGACCAATGACATATTACTTCTTAGATTTTTTTCCAGTTTTAACTTCTACTAACTGAGGCAGTTCCTTACTTTAAATGCAAAACTGTATTTCTGTATCCCGGTGTAATGAATGGTATTCTTTATGCACAAATTGCTTAAGACAATTAATCTAAGGCAAGTTCAAGATAAAGGAAGAGTTTTCTGCTAAAATCTCTAAACTGATTTTTTGGGGGGTTTTATTATTCGTTTAAAGACCTAAATGGAACACACTCTCAGTTTAACTGTGTAAGCATTTCATTAAACCTTAATGGTCCCCAACCTTTCAGGAAAAATAATGGTACCACTTGTGTTCAAAATTAACATTTTCTCCTCATTATTTCTAAATTTGGACATTCACAGAAATGAGCGCAGTTCAAGAAGAAAATGACTTACCATTCTCCCTCTTTTAAGAGGGCACCATGCATGTATCCTAGAAGGAATGAACCTCCAGTCACGTGCATGGAGAAACTGCCCTGACTTCTAATTTTGATACCACGTCAAGGCACATTGGCACACAGGCACATGCACAAGAAAGTACCCCAAGTGTCAGTATATTTCAGTCAGATCTCAATACGCAGGGGCAGAATAAACACCCCAATGGAGACAAGTGCAAAGAATGACAATATTCTTCTAAAAACTCACACACTGAGCAAAATTACCTATCTTCAGAAAGAGAGGACAAGTCTAAATGCAAGTTCTTTAGGGCAGACACTTCCAAACTTGAGTTTCCAAGTGTCAAATTGAAGTCTGAGTACGAAATAGGGAAGAAATCTTTCCTTCTTATAAAGTTATGACAACTACAGAGGATTCTCACTCTTATGAAGTCAAAGGGAAGTGTCAACTCGACACTACACCTCGGAAAAGCTGAAAATAGGTCCCCCTCATCATAATTCCATAGTTGTATAACATAGCATCTTTGCTTTGCATTAATGCTCTGTACTTAAAGAGCTAACTCAGGCATTTCTACATCAACAACGGAAGAACAGACTGTTGAAAACATTTTACCAAAAACTACAGGCTGACAGAAAGGTGTGGGGAGCACAGCATTTGGTACCTTAAACAAACCATCTGTTTAACCTACCCCACCAAAATCTTGTTACCAGCTCTTTGCTCCCCAATTCCTATTGCTTCAACCCCCATAAAAAAATACAGGTACTCGTCACACTGCCGATCTGTATCTGTTTTCCAGAGCGAATAACCTGCTTTCCTATACAACTCTTTCACAACACAGCTAAAGTTTTTAAAACTTCACAACACAGTCAAAGAACACCCCAAACTAGTTCAGCCTAGAAAACTGACCTCAGAAGCAGTCCACTAAACCCTCCATGAAAGCTATCCACAGACTATGTTCTGAGCTAGCTGTGTTCTGCAATCATAAGACTAATGTTGAGCCTACTTTTGCCAGAAAATTATACTCCAGACTGTATCTTTATGTTTTCCATTGAGCCATATCCTCAGAAGGCAGACAGCCCCCTTTATTCCCAACTGTCAGACTCCTTTTCCTCCTATACGCTCAGATGCTATTTATCCAATTTTGACCACTGCCCATCACTGCACGCCTTCCTACTAATGCAGCATAAGGTATCTTTTGCCCTGCACTGTCAGGATCCAACAAATGGATGTGCATCAAAATGAACTCAGCACTAAGAGAAAATGTGTCATACCTTCCAGAGCAAGTCTCTATAAAATAGTAGGGAAGGTCAAAGAAAACTACTTGATGAAGTTAGTTGTTAAACTTGACTGTTGAGGACAAAAACCAAACTTAGCTGCCTTAGCTATCCCTATTAAAAATTTTAAAATTACGTTGTTGATGTTCAGAGGAAAAAAAAAGGCATTTCTACCATCCTGTTGCAGAAGCCAAGAATTCTTCACACTACAATTTAAGCAGTGCACCCTCTCTTCTCCTTAACAGGTTTTTACCTTCATTCAAGCAATAAGGTGCACCAAAAAATCATCAGCAGCTGTGAGGTAGGTATAGATCAACTTCTGTCATTCCTGTGTTCTAAACAGCAAAAAAGAAATGCTGTTCAGAGTAATATGCCAGCAACTATCCCAGTTAGGGGTCTCACAAAGTGGGATTCAAACCTCACAAAAATTAGCAACAGAATGCCTGGGAAATTTAAAAGCTGCAGATGTGGGTAAGCTTTGTGTGCCAAAAAAATATTTCTGAAGTCAGTGTCACATCATATCCTTTCACATATAAAACAACCTCCTCAAAAGAATGCAATAATTAGCTTAAAATTTGTGATGAGCACAGCTACCAAGCTATACTACTGTCACTATGAACTGAGGTCCCACAACAAGCAAAAAGTTATCTAGATAGGAAGGGTGGGAGCCTCCCTCGCTACAAAAAAAATAAAAAAAAGTAATACTCATTTCTTCAGAAGGGCAACTATGAAAAGCTTGTGATCTTGGTTCAAGAGCATCAAGCACTTAAGCCCCTGCATATGCTTCTTTGAAGACTTAGGGAGAATTACCAAAGGGGACCACGCAGCTCACTTAAGCAGCGGTGGCAAAACGAACCAGAGCAAAAAATACTGAAGAAGTTTTTTATTTGGTATGACTGACTTCACTATTTGAAATGAACTGGGTGGAATGGCTCTGAGCAGTTATGTGGGGTATGGTGTCCCAGTAATTTACAAACGTCTCAAAAAGTCAAAAGCCAGGGCAGTTCCAAAGAGGCACTTACCAACAGTTTTAAGCAGGAGAGATAACAGACACTGCTCTGGCTGGAAACAGTTTTCTGTAAAGTTGGTTTAAAAAGAGAACATATATGGAAAACAGACAGATGGCCTTATGCAGATTAGGAACTTTGAATTTACAAACTACAGAAGAAACTGTGGAATGGATGAATTGTGTTTCAAAACAAAAGATTCAAGTAATGGGGTTTTTTTTGTTCATCCTAGCTAGAGGATTGTATGTGAGTCAAGCTTCTTGCCAGGGCAGGAAAATGGAAGGGTACCACCATCTCATGCCAATATTCTGAACGTGCTCAGAACTAGAGGGAAGCAAAAAAGCCAGATTAAAAGCCACCGATTTGAAATACATACTATCTAAATCTAGTAAGTGTTCTTGTTCTAATTTTTAGAAAAATGCAAACCCACAAATGACAAGCCAACCATTAATGGCTTGTATAGAATTGTCGCTCTTCCACCACTTTCTCTTGATTAGCAAAAAAACACCCCAAAAAACAAACTGAAGATTTTTCACAAACTGTATCAGAAAGCAAAGTTTTTTACCTATCATAGAAGCTGCTCACCCTGACAGGTTACCTTAAAAAAAAAAATTATTATTTCAGAGGACAGCACAAGAACGTACCTGTGTATATTTCTACAATTGCTTTTCCATTGGCACCTTCCACTGTATTCACTGAAATGTGAATTCACCCTCCACTTCGTACCTGAATCATGAAGTCATTTTCTTCTTTTACTTCACAAACACACCGAACAATCTCAAAATCACTTTCTTCAACTTCTTCATCAGGGTTCGTGGTTACATCAACATCCTGACTGCAGTCATCATCACTCCAAAGCAAGCTATCCATAGATGACTCACTCAGGGTGTCATCCTCTGTACAAAAAGGAGTTAGATAAAATCCCAGGTAATTAGAAAAAGGTCAGGTAAGTCTCAAGATTTCACCCTGAGTATGCAGACATATATTTCTAAAAGCATGAGTTCACCATGTAATTTAAGGAATATCACAACATTACTACATTATGCAGTTATCTTCAAGAAACAGTAAGGTTACTATATAATGAAGTTTTATACTCATTAATATTACAACTTAACAGTTTCTGTCATTAAAACTGTACTCTCAATATGCACTGTTGGCACAAAGTCTCTTTAGGCAAGTAAGCATAATAAACAAACTAGATTTATAAATTCAAATATGAATCGCACTAATTTCTGCAATTTGTGTAGAACTGACTTGGTACTTTAAGTGCAGCACTCACAAAAACAGGTAAGAGGGTTGTGTCTTACGAACCATTCGATCTCACAAAGTAATGTCTCCATTACAGAAACATTCAGAGTCCAACACAGAATTTAATCCTGCTACAGAAATTATTACTTTCATTTAGCCTCCCATTGAGGACACATTCATCAATTCAGGGGCAGTACACTGCCCAAGGTATTCTTTAAGAATGCTCCCATGCTGCTTAAAGCATTAATGAATCTCTGTGAATTGAATAAAACTGTCAAGAAAATCTTTATTGAACAACATGTTAAATTGAGATGCTTACTTCAATAATACTAATGCAATGCCTACACCTTCCTTGGGGATAGAATGCGAGGATCAGAGGAAGACGACAAGGATTTTAATTATTTGGGAAATACTCTAATGTGCTGGAGAAGAGCGGAAGGTAAAAATTTTGATCACTCTTAAGCAGATTGTGGCCTCTCACCTAGATTGCTTAGAACTGTTTTGATCACTTAGCCGTTAAAACAATACTGTAGAAACAGAAGAACCAGTCTGTGGTATAAACTAGATCTTTTGGAGAAACAGCTGTTCTCAAATTTATGGGGCTGAGAACCCAATGCACTAGCTAATTTTCATGTTTAAAAGTTTTATTCCACCTCCAAGATATGACACACTTTCCTGAAGTACTCTGGAAGCAACAGGTAAGCAACAGGTTAAGCACACTGCACTTTCATTCTACAGAGGAGTTTTGCTATTACTTACGCCAGATCTTATTTATGTAGGCACTGATTTTATTGTTAGTATAAATTCTGCAGATGCAAAAAGCAGCAAATCAATTGCAAAAAGGATGAAATAAACCATTTCCAATACTTTTCACCTCTTTCAATCTCTATGAACCAATCAAAAGAACCAATCTGAGCAACTGATGCCCAAGTTACTAAACTGTATGTTCCATGGTTGATATGCTCCAAAAACACAACTGATCAGACTTGCAGAACTTGTTTTAAGACATTATCACCATCTGCACCTCAGTAGTTTTTAATGTTTCCTCTTTTCCCTATATAATGGAATTAACTGAAGTTAATTTTGACATTTTGCCTAATACCAAACAATATAACAGTCATGTAAAAAAAATTAAATGGACACCAATAGGGTATCTGTACAATAAGGAATTGAAGGTTCCTGTACAAATCAAGCTGTCATACATTTCCCATTTCCTTCAAATTTGTGAGCTTTAAGAATAACAGAAATAACAAAATGTTTATCTTCCTTTTTTATTGCACCAGCTTGTGACAAGTAAATAAAAAGATGAACCAAGATATTAACAGTTATGAAAGCTGGAACACAGCAGCCACATTTTTATGAGCTCTGTTTATGAAGTACTTAAACACACTAGTAAGTAGTAGCTACTCAAGAGCTTCTCATCATTACAAAGCTCAGAAAGTCATTATAACCATTGTATCATACTTTATCTATACAACTACACATAACCACATCCAGTGGTGTCTCAAACACAGCCCATATACTGTATAAAACATGCACAGCATCTATTTTTAACTGAGTTATTACTTTGAGGAAACATTAGGAATATAAAAAATTTAATTAATGAAGTCTGAACATTGTTATTACAGGTGCTACAAAAAGGTGCAAAATGAGTTTTGAAATAAGGGGAACAGACTTAAAGCTTTTGTGAAGACAAAGTCAAAGCAAAAAGCAGCAACATCAACCTCTGGCAAATGAACTGGGTTCCATTTCTTCAGGCAGGGGAATAGAAACACACACAGTCCTGCGTACAAATAGCCAAATTTACATCATTAGTACCAGCTTTCACATATATTAGTGCAGCTCACACATTTACTGGTAATGAAAGACAGAACCAGCAAACCATCAAGGAGAGTCATCTTACCATTTGTTTTTGATTTTCCTCTGTGCTGTCCAGAATCAGAGCAGTGTAGCAATGTGCTTGGGCGGGATTTATTTGAAGAAATACTTTTTGTGACAACTGATTTTTCAAGAGACAGCTCCTGCAAAATATCTGTGTTTTCTTCACTGCCAGAGTATTCTGTAAAATGTTAAGAACTGTTTTTATTAGAAATCCGTAGTCAAGAAAAGTTGACAGAGGAAAAAAAAACAGTACCAGCATGCCCATAGCAGGCATGTATAATTCACTAAGACAGTTTCCACTTCAATATGCAGGGACTCTAAGACTTCACTATGCCGCTGAAAGATTTGCAAGCTTTCTAGAGGCAAGGAAGTTATTAACTGAACCAGAAAAATCTTAGGCAGCTCAGTCACTGCTGACTTAAGTGAGAAAGGCTGAAAAGACTGGTTACTTGAACCTCATTATTCTTCAGGGTGAGTATGTCTACAAATGCTTTTGCATTACAGGCACTTCTACACAAGCACTGTTAGCTGGAGACCTCCCCCTCACATCCCACTATTATTCACATGAGGTACCCACACTCCCTAACCTCAACAGACTACAAAATGGACAGAAAGCATCTCTTCTACTTTCCTACTGTATGTATGGATGGAAAAGAAAAGCCCCAACTAGGAACATGTGGAGAAACCACCTAGAACAGTTCCTCTATGAAGTAGCCATTCCTCAATTCCTGGACTGTATATAAGTAGAGGCCACCTGCAGTTACAAGCAGTACCCTCTGATCAGTTACCTGGAGAAAGCCTTCAAAGTTCCTGGACTGAAGAACCACAGGGGCAACGTCAAGAAAAGGCAAGCAACATTTTAAAACCCAGGAGTAGATGGAGAAGCAGTTTGTGTGTACTATTGGGGTACTACTGCATAAGTCTACACATTATACTTTGCATATTATCATTATATTTGAGGGCACCATATAATGAGAAGCTAACTAAAATTATTTGTTTCAGCACAATTCTGAGTCAGTCTGCCTGTCGTCCTTTCTTACCCTCTACTCTCTCATGATAGCTTGCCCTATTTCTTCATAGCAACAAATAAAAAGGTACGGTATTTTCTTTACTGTCTCAGAAACTCCTTCTTAAGGAGCTCTACTTTTAACAAATTATGCATGCCAGATTGAGATATAATGCATTAATGATCCTAGACATCCATCAATGTCAGAGAAAGTTGCCACACTTGATCTGTAAATATTTCACCAAAGAAATCTTTCAGAATTAATTGTGATTTTCAGAAGTTCAGAATCCCATCACCAGTAACAGCTGGACCTACACACGGATTTCGAAGTGTAAAGTGGCCCAAGGAAAGCATTCCCAAGCCTCTGTAGATGAAATCAACAGACCAGACATGTTTCTACCACAACCCTATTGCTGTAGGTGGAACAGCATATTATGAAACATGACAGTGGGACAGAGCAATTGCCTAGACTTTAAATCAGGCTTTTATTTCATCTCTCCAGCAGAAGAGATATTTATCCTTTAGAAAAAAAAATTTAGGATGCGGAAGGTGTAATAGAGCTCATTGTCACAGCCTCTGAAATCCCATGCTAAAGATGCAAGAAATAACAAGGTTAATGGCAGAAAAAGAGGACCCATCGACATTTCCAAATGCCATCATCCATACAGGAGCCCCAAAACTAACTCGTGTAACTGCGAACATCTGGCACATGGGGTACTTTGTAACAAATCAAGAGGATCTGCACCCTCTTTAACCAGTTAAAACCTGCATACAAGTACACTTGCTAATGAAAAGCCAGACCAAAAAGACTGACATATCCATTTTGGAGTTAGATTTATTTTGCCATTACAAGCACTACTATAAGCCATCATCCAGCATTAATGATGCCCCTCAACCAGGAAATAAATTATCTTGCCCATCACAATTTATTATTGAACACTTAATAAAATCAGAAATGACAGATTAATGAAGAAAGCACTCCTGTCCGCAATACCTGCTCATAAAAGTGAGGAACTAGGTAACAGACAACATAAAATAACAATGTCT